CGTCAGATTTATGTATTAGTGGTGTCGTCCCTTTTGCATCGATTTTAAATCCCAACCATTCTATGTTGTGATTTAAGAATCTGCATTTTCCCATTTTATGGCTAGTCCCTCGTCGTCTAGCGTTTTTAAAACGTTAATAACTAGCTTTTTATGTTCGTCCTCGCTACCCACGGTGGCGATTAGGATGTCGTCGAGGTAACAATGGGTATTTGGTAGTTTTTCCGTCAAACGGTCCATTATGCGTTGAAATTCATTAGGCATATCGCCTAGCCCGTAAAATCCGGTTTTAAAACAGTAGGAACCCGTTACTTCTCCCCCCACGATGTTGAAATTACATTGATTACTTGCCTTTTTAGAAAGCGGTATTTGACTGTAAGCGTATTTTAGATCAATCGATGAGAACCAGATGTTTCTTTCATCATGACCGCTAATCGTAATTGCTACGTTATCAATTAGTTCGAATAGGTTCGGCATTTGATATCTATTACGAAATATCTGTTTGTTCAATAGTTTCGAGTTTAATGCTAGTTTAATTGATCCGTCCCTTTTTGCTGTAATCACGATGGGGGAGATGAAACAATCTTCAGAGCATCTAGATAACTTTTCAATATGTCCGTCTCTTAGTAATTGGTCAATACATAATTTGACTTTAGGGAGAAGATGGATCGGAATACGTTTCCCTTTCACCTGTATCGGTTTTATTGGTTCGTTAAAATAAGTATTAACTACGAAGTTCTTTGATCTACCAGTTCTTTTTATGAGGTCTGAAAAATGTTGTGATATGTATGTTTTAGACTCACTTTGAGATGGTGTCTCTTGGCTTTGGTCTTGTTTGTTATCCGATGCGAATTTTATTTGGTTGACGTCTATCCCAATGGGTGATCCTTTCTGGTCTTTCCATGACTTTGGCCCATTGGGTGGAGGTTGTTTCTGGAATACTACGATTCCCAGATTCGGTAAGATGTCATTTCCCAGTAGATTTCTTTCAGCCCCTTCGGTAATGAAGAGTTTTTGGTCGCGAGCTTCCCAGCCCTTCGATCGGATTCTCACCCGAACTCTTCCAATAATGTTGATTGTACTCCCGAAGCCCTGGTATGCTTTCTTTGTATTTCGTCCACAGGTTCTAGCTTTAAAAATCTATTTCGTATCTTCAATTCGTGTAGTAGATCTTTTTTCATGAATGAAACTGGACTTGCTGAGTCAATTTGAATTTCAGTACAGTAATGGTTGAAATTTCCCAGAGATACCTTTAGTGTATTTTTCAGTTCTAGTCCTTCGTGATTGAATACTGTTCTCACTCCGCGTTCTATCTTGTCTTCTACTGCATTTATTTGGCTATCCGTGTCTACAGCTAGAACTAAGAAATCGTCTAAGTTGACCTCAAATTCGGGATTTTCCTGCAGGTTGGCCCGGATATTTTCGTTTTCCTGAGGTACTCGATTCTGTTCGACGATGTTTGTTTGTGTCCTTGCTGAACTCCTGCAATGTTTAGCAAAATGTCCTTTGCGTCCGCACGTATTGCAATTTCTATCTCTGGCCGGGCATGTGGATAAATGTCCTTTTTTGAATTGCTGACCGCAGTTGCGGCATTTGTTATTTTCAACAATGTTTAGGGTTGGTTCATTCTTTACGTATTGTGGTCTTGGTACTGCGTTATAAGTTGGGAATTTTAGGTACTGTTGATGGATTTTTTCGTGCCTTTTTCGTGAACTAATACGTAGGATAGTACGTTTTTTGGGGTCAAGTATTCTATACATAGTTTCTTCTGGATCTCGACATTTCTCATGTTTGTGATGAAAATATCTCTTACTAATTCTGAGAGTTCCCCCAGTTTACAATTTTTTGCCAGTTCAGAAAGTATTTCGTGGAATTTTTCTTAAGACTCGTGTTCTTTCTGTCTTCGGCCAAAAAATTTAAATCTTTCGTATGTTAAGTTTGTAGTGATCGTGAAGGTAGTTTTTAGTAGTTCCCAGAATTCTGCGAAATTAATATCCAAAATTCTTTTCCCAGGATTTTTATGTGAGAAGCATTTCTGTCCTTCTTTTCCGAGTGCTAGGTATAACTGTGATTTTAGCTTCTTGTCAATGTCTCCGATTTGGAGTCCGTTGAATTTTGCGTTGTCTTCCGCCCTTCTCCTTCTCAATTCTTCGTTATAGTTTTGTACGGCTATTCTGTGGTGTTCTTCTTTTTCGGCCCGACGGGCTTGATCATCGGACGGGTCCGGTGGTTCTGCCGTAGGGTATGCTAGTTCGTTTCTTATCGGTGGGTTAATTACATCTTCGATGTCTACGGAATCTTTCGCGATAATTGTCAATTGAAACTTTTCCGACCACCTTTCCCAGTCGTGTTGATTTTCATTTGATGAGTTGTTCCAAAAAAACTCTAGTCCTCGTAGGTTCGATTCGTTTGACTGCGCCATGTTAAAAAATTAGGATAACACTCGTGGTTGATTAAGAGTGGGTAACTTAAACTAAGACTAGATTAAGTCTAAGGTTGGGTAAGATTCCTACAAGAAATTGTAGGCTTTTATTTAAGACTAAATAAAAGACGGTGATAGCTAACTAAAGTAAAAGAGGTTAAAAAGACTGAATTAGTTTTCTGTTGATTTGTTGCATATCACAAAAGATAGTGAACAAAAATCCAAATCTACCAAAAGCCGTTGCGCTTTTGGCAGGTGTATATAAATTAATAACGTGAAGGTCAACGATCAGTATAGCTCAGAGGTTAAACGTTCAAACATTAATAATACATTTTACACTCCCTTTGTACTATTTTCCAATATCCATTTTTGGTGATGGACCCTTTGGCGCCAATATATACCAATTTTGAGGGGGGAGCGCGCGCCGAAACAACGCGCTTTTTTGGTCAAAGTTTTCCAAAAAGTGTCTAAAAACGCTTTTTTCGGCCTGTTTTTTCAATATTTTGCCTGCTGCGCAGAAAACTTGGTGAGAATAGGGACAAAACAGTGCTATGGGAGAGCTCGAAAAATCATATTGGTCGACCTAAAAAAAGTTCAACCCCCCTCCTCGAGAAAATCCTAGCTCCGCCTCTGTTTGAGGTCATCTACTTTTTCTTCCAAATTGGACAGTTGAGATTTTTCAAAAAGCAAGTCTTATTTTTGAATATGAAAGCAATTTTTCTTCTGTTTACTTGCGTTCATTGACTCTTTTTCAACTGTCTGTTGGCTATGTTTTCATTTTCAGGCGCGCAGTTCACTGCAAGGTTTTTCCGTGATTAAAATTTAAAGAACGATGTAAAATTTTGTGCTTTTTTTCCAGACCAGTCTTGAAATTTGTTCAAACTCAACTTAATGCTTTTTCACTAATGATTTCTTCTAAATGGGTATGTAAGAATGAAAAAAAAAAGAATTTATTTCTCCATAATCATAATCGTATAATAACAGATACAACAGTAAAATCTAAACATTTTTGTGAGGAAACTCAAATTAATTGTTTTACAAATTACCAGAGTGGAGAGGATAGACTAAAGGTACAATACACACCTATCGAGAGTCTACCCGAGCACATAACGATGACAAGCTGAATTTTAAAAGAAAAAAATGGAAATATAAATTTTCCATACTTTCTAAATAATTATACCAAGTTAATTCACAAAAAAGCCATACAATGTTTGGGTGTCATTGATTTCGCGCGGTTACTGGTCCCATATAATTTAACACCAGAAATAAGGAAATCATTCAAAAAATTTTAGTTTTATTTCAATAACATGTGTGTATGTGTGATACACTCAGCTGCCGTTGCGCGCGTTTTGCCTTCAAATGATTAGAAACATTTAAAAAAGTCGCTAGCAAGTAGTACCCAAGATTGGAACACTGGGCGGATAAAGATTCGAATTCTCTGGGTGGGTCAACCTTCCTCGAGATCAGACTGAACATTCCTTTCTGAACCCCTAAATGCAACGTTAAGTTTGAATTTTTTGTGGTGCTTTTTGAAGATTAGTGGGTTGCAACTGGATTTTAAAATACTCATAATGATTAAAAACTGTTAGAAAAACAGCTCGTTCCATATAATATTTTCTAAATCACAAAGCGTTTCTAAGATAGTGCTATAATCGATCGGCCATTGACTCGCTTCTTCAGCATTACCAACCATATTTGTTCATTGAATGATTTTCAATCTGTAAACTTGATGTATTGAGACTTGATGTATTGTTTTTATGCTTTTAAATTAAAATTATTTTACACCTGATTGACAGATTAGATAGCTCAGTTTTAAATTGAAGTTGTACATGTGTCATGAATTGTACACTGCTGAAGATAATTAACGAAGATAATTCAAAATTCGTGCGATTGTTTTGACAAAAAACTATACTGTGTAATAGAATAAATACACTGGCGGACAAAATTAAAAGCAACATCAAGTTTCAAGTTTTTATTCTTTGAAGTGCCTTTTTTCGAAAATATTTTTGGACAGCAATTGCTACCAATTTCCATAAAAAATTTACATAGGCCGACAGCAAATATGCTGAGCTAACTTCTATCAAATTATCGATTTTTGGTTTTAAGGACTTAGCAGTTTATTTCGGGTCTGTTAATGCTATTTTTCGCCATCTTCAGTAAGTAAAAAATAAATATTAAGTCGACGAAATAGTTTTTTTATGTATTTAGAAAGAAACTGGGCATGGAAATGCGTTCAAAAGGTGTGATATTTTTTTAACTCACCTTTACTGAAACTTTTTGCGCATTCGGGTAAACTAACTGCAGACGGTGATGACTGGCATTTTCAGACCAGAAATCAACTGACAAGTCGGTGAAAACAAAATTGACACTTTTTTTAAATGTAGCTCAGATCATTTGCTGCCGGTTGATGTAAAATTTTTTATTGAAATTGGTAGTAATTGTTGTCCCTAATGATGTTTGAAAAGAGGAGTTTCAGAGAACAGAAACCTGATTTGCGTTAAATTTTGTCCAAACTTATATAAACCCAAAGACTCTTATAGAAGACGAAAATGTGATGATGATATAATAATTTCGCTTTTTATTAAATCCAACCATTGTTTACACTATGCCGACTATTAATGCCTGGTCCTGGAAGCATTTAAGAATTGTTTTTATTTTACTTTCTCTGATTCTGTCTCTAAATATTTTACTGAGTTTTTGTTACCCGCGGACTTCATACAACATAGAATCGCTGAAGAAAGCAGATTTTTACAGGCCAATTTTCCAAGAATATCTGGATACATTTCCGACGCTACATCAAATACAGAAAAAAGAGACCAACAAACTAGAGGCTATTTATGATCATTGCGAGAAATTATGGAATGGACAAGCAACAGATATTCAGATCAACAGCTCTATTAACAGAAAAGGTGGGTCTTTTCGCTGGTTCGAATACCCCTCCCTCCATTTTACATAATAGATATATCAGGTTAGTTGTATGTAGTGAATACAGAAAATAATTAATCAGTGTCGAATTTATGGGTGATGCAATAGCGAAAAGTCTCAAAAAAGGTCACGCGTTGGAGTACCTCCCGAGAAATATGTTGGATAATTGTGACGATTACTTTACTAGAAGGTTACATTTTTACAACACGGAACCAGTTACCGAGTTTGAAGAGAACTTTCCCATTGCGTTTAGTTTGCTAGTTTACCACGAGTTCGATCAGCTTGAACAGATGTTGTTGGCGCTTTACAGGAGACAAAACTTTTATTGCATCCACGTAGACAACTCCTCTAGCGAACAGTTCAAAAGCTTGGTAAGTACTGTCGCGCTTACATCTCATTATTTATGCTGTTTTAATTGGACCATTACGAATCAATAGCATATTTCTGGCTGAGCTCTGAAATACGTTATCTACGACAATGTTAAGATAATAATGTATTCGAAAAAATTACTGGCGCAATTATCAAAAAATAGTCAATGTGAGCATTTTGTGCAGTTTTGTGTCTTAAGCCGAACATGGAAAATAAAAATACAAATGATTCCAAATATTTCAAATTTTTACAGAAAATTTGTTTTCAGTTTTTATTTTTGAAAGAACTTTTAGAAACAAGTTTTACTCTCATACTGCACGGCTGCTCGCTCGCTTTAGTCGATCGAAGTTGGACTTGAATCCAATATTTTGAAATTGGTTTCTTTCGCTACTTTAATATTCCCGTTTTTAAATATTCCCGTTTTTAAATGTCTTCAAGGGTTTAATATGATACATCATGGATTACCTTACGTTATCATACCAGCAGGCTATCTAACGCAGTGTCATTTCACGAATTCGCTGTTTTCTAACTTAACCTAACTTGCAGATAATTTTGGTGGCATTTTTGTTGCATATAGTATTGCAAGTTCAATGGCAGTATGCTTCAATTTATTAGTGATTAATGTGTGGCTTCTGTAAAGTACTGTGGAACAAGTCTGTAAGGCCGTCAGTTTTAATACGTAGGGTCGCAAGGATTGAAGTTCAAATCCCTTGAGTTCATTTAGTTTTCAAAACTCAAAGCTTTTCTTGCCTCAATGATCGTAAAAAATTGTTCACGCTCAAGTTTGATTTTTCGGGTATTGACGTTTGATTTCTTTTTAAGTTCAGTTAGTTTCTGTTTATTAGACCAGCGAGCAGCGTAGTTTAATTGTACAAACCTTCATTTTTCTAACCTAACTCGCAAATAAAAGTGTTCATTAAAAGTTTTCACTTATTTGGTGGCACTTTTGCTACAACCACGATCTGTAACATTGGAAATTTCATAGCACCTGTTCTCTGCTTTATGTGTGGCTATTAATTGTGGTTAATTAAGCGTCCGTGGTTGAGTGGTTAGACTTATTATCTGCAGGTCGCAGAGCGATTCAGAGACGTTGACGAATTTTTACTAATTTGAGGCTTATTTCAACTTTTTATATTGCACTTTATAGTGCTGCTTTTTGTCGTGGTCTCGCTAGTGTTTGCAAAGCGCAGCTCCGCCTCTGTGTAAAAGGAAGTTGCACTCCACTATCCATTAGAAAAAGTGTAAAGGTGTCTAATAACGTGATCAACTTTCAATTTCGAAAGTGGACTTACGTTTTCAGGTTTCCCAGCGAAATCAAAATTCATCTTTTACCGCAGTTTTTTCAAATAGTGTTAAACTCTGTAAAATATTGTCCATTATAGGTCGTTCTTGAAATTCGAAGATTTTTAAATGCACATGTCTCTGTGTTGATTGACCTTTTCCAACTCTCTTGGCTTTTTTTGACATCTTTATAGCTACTTCTTTGCGTTTTTTGCTTGTTTTTGAAAAGTGCAGCTTCGCGTGTAATTATTGACTGTTTTATTATCTGCTCATAATTTTCCCAGCATAACACTTGAAACTATTCTTTTTGTTGGTGATTGATTTCATATTCAATTAATTTTTTTTCTATATTAATTTCATATTGCACACGAAATTTGCAATTTAAACAAACCATATTGAATGAAGCTTAATTCAAAAATCATGTAAGTAAAATTACACAGTCTGTTTGGTTTTCTGGGTCCCGAGAAGTCGCAACAAAACGCATCGGGTCGTTGTGCTAAGCTCAAATGATCAAATGATCTCCAAATGTTTTAAATAAGTTCATTGCAAGTGAAACTGCTAGAAGCTGTTGAAGTTTTGACATCGATTGCCATCACAAATTTTTCCGTTACAAACTATGTTGGACCAGTTAGCGCGAAAAAAGTTTTTGATTACAACTTTCTTTGACTCAAATCCAATTGATGGTCTTTTGAAGTTGACAGTACGTGTAACAATAGCGTCTCAAAATTTTCCGGTCTTATTAGATTGTTGGCGGCCCACTCGGAAATTTTGCAGAGTTTCTTTTTCACTTTACATTTTTTGATGACAGCTTATAATTTAAGTGAGGGCGAAGCGGAGCGTAGCAACACTTGCGATGCAAAAGACGCATTAGACTACTTGATAGTGAGCGATACAGCTACAAAAACGTCTTGTTTTTATAGGATGAAGTTCGTAAACAGCCTTAAAAGGAAGTGAAACTCATTAACCCAGCGGCAACAATTTTTGGTTCGAAGCCTGTTAAACTAAAAACGAAACTGTTGTCATAAAAAATTCATTAGGTTTCAAAAGTTCTTACGACCCATCCATTCTGTTCAAACATTTTTTGAAAAAATTTCCCAAAATCAGACTTGGCATATTTACGAATTATTAAACTTTCAGTTATTGTGAAAAAACTGCTCAAACTGGAACAATGCCCGTGATCTAGAAAATAGGCCGAAAATCCTACCATACTAAATAAAAAAGGCGTTCAAAAAAGGAAAAGTAAACCGCTAGAAATTAGGACGAAAACCACGAACCAAAAAAAAATTTTGAAAAAAATAATTACAGCCTCGAACGGACTTCAGCTAACTACTATTTAAATAATTGTAGTTTATTTTGAGTTTTCAAGAAATTGAGCGTGTCAGAAGACATATTTACCATTTGCACTAAATTGACTCTTCTGTGAACAAATTTATTTGCAGGCAAAAAGTCTAGTACCCGATTGCAATAGGCTTTCTTGTAACAAGGATAATTTTCTTAGTGACTTAGTTTTTTGTTTTTTAAAAGAAAATATTTGTGTTTTTGAAAAGAAATAACTAGCGTTTTGTAGATGTATTTACTATGATCTTTTTTTTTGATTTTGTGATTTATGTTTTCATCTTCTGTCTGCTTGCTTGCAGTTTTTTATCTGCGTGGTATCGCAATTGGTCGAAAATCTGCTTCGTGTGTGTAATAATTGTGGTTTTAATTTCAAGTCAGAAACCCATAACCAAGTTTTGTAAGAACTTAACTTTTTCATTTTGGTTCGGCTTGAGAGAAAATAAAACAAGGCACCAAACTGTCAGTGGCATCTACCATGAGCAAAATCTATTTGCTATGTTGTTATTTTTACCTTTGCAATAAGCAAGGGTATTGCAATCGGGTTCTAGATTTTTTTCCGTAGGCACAGAATGGTCAAATGTATAGGAATGATGAATTTGAGACATGCTCAATTTCTTGAAAAATTAACTAAAACTACCTTCATTTAGGTAGTCAATAGGTGTAGTCACTTTCCGATGTTAAAACATTCCAAAAAATTTTCCTGAAAAAATTTTTGAATTTTTTTTACGGACTCGTAGTTTTCCGCCTGTTTTCCTTCGGTTAATTTCTCGTTTTTTGTGAACTTTTTTTGGTGCTGTTTTTTTTAGCATGAGTAATATTTTGATTATGAAACGGATATTGAAAGTTTGCAACTTGTCATTTAACCAAGTCTGATTTTTAACAATTTCTTTTTTTTCGATTGAACGGTTTCGGTTTGTTTTATAGAATGATACACTTATTTTGCGTTGTGCCAAGGGCAAAATTCCATTTCAACAAACTCAGGTATTATTACACTTGTTTTAATTTTTTTAATTTGCTTTTTAATGAACATTCAAGACCTGCAGGTTCCTTCCCAATTGGCCCAGAGCTAACGCAGTCGCCATTTTACCTTATGGCCAGGGGTTCGACTCTCAGTCGAACCTTGTTTATTTTCATGGTATGAATGCAATTGAAAAAAAAACTTCACTAAAAATTGAGTTGATGGACTTCAGTTTTTCTGCTAAAGTTTTGTCGGCTTAGTTGCAATATCGCACATCTTGTTTTCCCTGTAAGAAACTTTCATTGCAAGTGCAAGTGACGTTCTTTGTAGGTTTAGGGAGGTGGACTAATTTTCTTAAATAGTTTTTTTCCGGCGCAACAGGTGTCTGCTCAAATATTGTCGTCGTAGTTGCCACATCACTGATTTTTCTTTTCTTGCGTTATAGGCAACTTCTCTTGCAGCTAAAATTTCAAGTGTTGTTCATTCTAGTCTCAGGTGGGACTGAAAACTGTAAAGATTTTCGATAAAATTTTATTTTTTCCTGCTCAACTTGTGTCTGCTCATAAATTGTCGGCTTTGTTTCCTCTTCGTTAGCTTTGTTCCGTTGCTAATTTATTATTCAAATTTCTGCCATGTTAGCCTAGATAGAACTTTTTATCGAGTTATATGAAAATTTAATTTTTAGTAGAACTAGTTTTTTTTACGTTTTCCATTTTTGAATTCTTATGTTTTTTATGGTTGTTTGATCGCGAGTGGTGCAAAGCTCCGCTTCGCCTCTGTGTTGATCATATAAAAAACCCAAAACAAGGCAGAAAATCTCTACAACTGAAAAAACCAGTTTACAAACAAACGCATGATCTTTGGTAAGTGCAGTTTAGGAATTACAATATGATTACGCACAAAAATAACCAGACGGTGATGGAAACATGCAAATTTCGGCAATCAAAACAATAGTATTCAACTAAACTTTGTATAACTCAAAAACTAAATCGCCTTCCCCTGAGGTGAAAAGTTATTTCACGTATAATCCTTTTTGTTAGTTTGTTATCATATTGAATGCTTTCTGTTTGGACCCTGTGTTCAGCTGCGTTTTAAAAACTACCTGGTTGACAGTGCAACCCTTTTTTAAATCTTTTAATCGACTCTTTAATCGAAAAAAGAATCTACTACTTGATTTTTATCGACTACTTGATTCAGCTGAATATTGCTTATCTTTTGTTTGATATAGTTTTGTTGATATCAATGTTCTGAAACAATATGCGCGCTTTGCTTTTTTATTATGAAGCTGAAAGCATGACGAGCGTCATTTAAGTTTGGCGAATTATCCGCACTCAAAAGTTTCTAAATTGAACTAAGGAAGCTAATTGGTCACTTGAATTCCCTGTTTGGCTAAAATTTTGACTCTGAACCAGTAGGGAGCCGAGGGGGGAGGGGGGGTTGTCGGCGACCGCCCCCCCCCTCCCCTCAACTCTGGTTGGCAAATTTTTCGAAATGGTCACCCTTTGGTACGACTTTACGGCATCCATTTTCGGCTGACCAACCTCAAAAATTTTTTGATCAACATTTTTCAAAGAGTGCCCAAAAACAGCTTTTTTGCGTTTTTTTGAGAAATTTGCCTGCGGCGCAGAAAATTTTTGACAAAAAAGGGTCCTTATAGTAATTTCGGAGAGCTCGCAAAATCAAATTGGTCGATCTATAAAAAGTCTTGCAAATTTCCATTTTTTTTTGAAAAACCGCCCCCCTAGAAAAATTTCTGCGCACGCCACTGCTCTGAACTATAGTATAATGGGCATGTGAGTAACGAATGAAACAAAATTAACATTTACTGCAATTCACTCTGGAAAACCTATTTGAGATCATTTACAGGGCAGTCGGAATTCGAGGGCTTTGCCCTGATAAACAAAGAGTCTTGCGTTCATATTTTTTAAATAAGAATGATCATGTTTGCGTTCTTTCTGTATCCCGTGTTGTTTTTTAGCAATAGTTTTTTAATTGCTGGTTTTGAACGAATGTCCAATGTGCTACTTCTCGTCTAAAAGTTATTTTTCAACGCATCCTCTAGTAGCGAAAGCTAACGCGAAAAATCGTAGGTCAAGATATAAATTTTTTTTTCAGATTTTTTGAAATTTCAGCTTTTAAAGATGTACGCGATGCCTGTTTCTGTCGACGTGTTGTTTATTTTGAGTTGGGCATCACTTTGTTGTCTGGAGCTAGAGTAGTTGGCTAAAAAATTCCATAATCGATTTGAAATTATGGATTTTTTTAGCCAACTACTCGTTAGCTCCAGACATTAAAGTGATGCCCAACTTAAAATAAACAACACGGCTACATAAACAGGCATTGCTTGCGTACATCTTGAAATTTCAAAAAATCTGAAATATAGTTTTTTACATCTCTAGATTTACAATTTTTTGTTAGCTATCGCTACTAGAGGATGCGTTGAAATAGAACATCGGATCATCTGATAGTGTTCAGATTTACAAGCGAAGTTTCCGCGATAATTGATACCATATTGAATACTTCGTTTGGACCGTGTGTTCAGCTGCGTTTAAAAGCCGCCAGTTTGACTATGCATTTGCGCTTTTTGACTCTTTTGCTCGACTCGATGTTAAGAGCATTTCTCGACTAAATTCTTCCATCGAATATCGATATTGTGTTCCGCTGAATCAGTCGAAGTTTTACTCGATCAAGCTGGGCCCTTGTGTTGTCATACATTGTTATACAGGTTTCTAAACTCGCCAAGTGTTTTCCCGAGAACGTCATCATTCCGCGTCACCCGACCGACATCGTGTACGCTTCCGCTTCTCAGGTGAGGGGGGAACTGAACTGCATGATAGAGCTGTTGGCCTTCTCTGACAAGTGGAAATATCTGATCAATCTGACAGGGGAGGAGTTGCCCCTGATGACTAACCTGGAACTGGTCACGGTGCTCAACAAAATGAAGGGATCCAGTCTCGTAGATGGTAAGTTCAGATAATACTTCGTCACTCTAACGCTCAAAAATGTTTTGGTTAAACAGAGTTTTGTTAGGCCTTGTTTAATTCAGTTTTAAGGCTGACAATTTGATTTTTATTGGTTTTTATTCCTAATTGCTATTTTTTGACGTAATTGACAAGGGATTTTTGACGTAATTGTACAAATTTCGGAGCATGGCTTACTAGCTGTTATTTTATCTAGTTTATCAATGACACAGATTAAACTCAAAAGTGTTGCTAATTTTAAGGTCCCTTGTCCCTAGACGAACACAATCGCTACCCCGAATCAAAGCTTCCCTTCGGCTTGAAAAAATTCAAGAGTCAAACTCACGTGGTGTATCCTTACGACGCAGTTATGTTCCTCAAGGAGAACCAGAACTTGACAGATACCCTTCTGCAATTCTTGGAACCCTACAAGTACCCCGAGGAGTCCTTCTTCGCCCTGCTGCAGTTCAATCATCATATTCAGTTCCCAGGGGGTCTTAAGAAGGAGTGGAGTGAGACGAAGCTTCCTGTGCTCACTTACGAGACAGAATCCAACAGTGAGTATTGGGTTATTGTTTTTCAGAAAATTTATGGGCGATGTATTCAGTATATATGTTTTGTTTTCTCCTTTCGAAGTAATTTTTAACAAGTTACCGATTTTCCCGAGGAAGCCCAACTTTTTATCATCAAAAATGTGATGACTAACCGTAACCAAACCTTTCTTTAGATCTATGAAAGTGGGATAGCTCAATTGTTTTTTCTCGATTTGTTTTTGAATTTTTTCTGGATGTTTTTGTGATAGCATGGATAGATGAGTGATTCTTTTGAAAATCAAGCCGACTAGAAAATGTTATGTTATTTTTATTGGAAACGTATAAAATTCGCTTATAAATCAGTTTTTCAAAACTTTTGCTGAAACTGGTAAATAAACTGATGGATCTTCGATGTTTTGCTATTTTGAACAAATCGAGAAAATTTCGAATTGCATACACTGTTTAACATTTGAAGTCTTGTAAGACGCGATGACTGGTGCACACATTTTATCCATAAAAGTACACAAACCATCATGAATAGTAGAATGTTTGTTTTTTATGCTCAAAATAGTTTTTTAAAGTTTTCATATCATCAGTTACATTAAGTATGCACGTTTGTGTAACCGATTTTATTGTCGTGTAACGAGTTTCCCTTGTTTCAATATCATCGCAAAGACGTTTTCCTTTGCTGGCAAAAAACAAGATGTTCTTTTTGTCAACATTCACGCTGCTTTGATGTGCTGTGGATGTGTTACAAAAATTATAAAAGACTTTAAATTCGAGGAAGTATCGTCCATCTTGTATTGATTAATTTTACGAAGTGCTATACGGGCTGATGATTCAGTCTTATTTTTCAATAGGCGAAACTTCGCTATGTTTTCCTCTCTTGGATAGGCTATCATTTTCTAAGCTTTATCTCGCTTCCGACCGGCATAAATCACTTTTTTTTAAAATTTTTGAAGGCTTTTTCGAACTGTTCTCTACGGGTGCAAATCTATCAAAAGCTTGCAAAATAGTTTGCGTAATTATTGCTTAAAAATTCTCATTTTTGCTGTTTGAAGAAAGCCTCTGCTTTAAATTTTGATCCAAAAATAAAAGCATTTTCAACAACTGGTCAATTTTTTCCAAGGGTTTTAGATCTCCATTGTCAAATTTCTCTTTGAATGTTCTGACCAAAAAAGGAAGGCAGAAAGATAAGGTTAAATGATTAGGGGAGGGGGGGGCTGTCCTCAAAAAGCAAATTTCATGTCGTTAAACGTGTAAATGGATGTCGAGTAGCTTGTTTTTACGTATGTCACTTTCATTGACTATTACATCAAAAACATTAAAATCTTTTTGTACACATCAATCAGCAAATCATTATTGAAATCACCTATGAAATACCCTTCTGAAAACACAAATTTTTAAAATATCGTTCAAAAACTGATCACAAAGGATGAAAAACTCCTGGTTGTCAGCTATAGAGTTTTACAGCCAAAGAGTTTTAAAATTTAAAAAGACTGCTCGTATCAGGGCGAAGCCCTGAATGTTCCGACTGCCTTTTAAGGTTTATGGATCAGCAGTAATAGCATAAAAAATTAAAAGAAATAAAATAAAATGAACATTTTTTTTTTAATTTGAAATTTTTTATAAAAATCATCCCCCCACACGCCATATAAAGTACAAAAAGATAGATTTCGTTCCTTGTAACAAATCAATTATGGCAAATAAGTTTCCTTCAACCAATTTGGAACGATTTATAAGACGGATTAAACCTCCGCTTACGCGTTAAAAGCGCGAAATATATCGTGCGTTAATTGTCCCAAATGGGTCAAAATGGCCAAAATGGCAATCTTTAAACCCTCATAACTTTACGAGAAATAATCACAGGTGAAATATCTTTTCAAATTTAAGCTCAGGACAACAATGGCTTTCGAATGACATAAAAAAATTCTGTCAAAAATGGCTAGTTAAAAAGTCGAAATTTGTCTGAAGAAAAAAAACCCACCCCGAGCACAAATATTCCGTTACTTTCGTATCGAAATTCGGAACAACAAGACTGCTCGTATCAGGGCGAAGCCCTGAATGTTCCGACTGCCTTTAAAGGTTTATGGAGCAGTAATAACATTAAAAAATTAAATGTAAGAAAAAATAAAGTGAAAATTTTTTTCTTCTAAAATTTGAAATTTTTTAATGAAAATCATCCCCCCACACGCCATACAAAGCACTAAATGATAGATTTTGCTCCTTGTAACAAATCAATTATGGCAAATAAGTTTCCTTCAACCAATTTGGAACGATTTATAAGACGGATTAAACCTCCGCTTACGCGTTAAAAGCGCGAAATATATCGTGCGTTAATTGTCCCAAATGGGTCAAAATGGCAATCTTTAAACCCTCATAACTTTACGAGAAATAATCACAGGTGAAATATCTTTTCAAATTTAAGCTCAGGACAACAATGGCTTTCGAATGACATAAAAAAATTCCGTCAAAAATGGCTAGTTAAAAAGTCGAAATTTGTCTGAAGAAAAAAAACCCACCCCGAGCACAAATATTCCGTTACTTTCGTATCGAAATTCGGAACAACAAGACTGCTCGTATCAGGGCGAAGCCCTGAATGTTCCGACTGCCTTTAAAGGTTTATGGAGCAGTAATAACATTAAAAAATTAAATGTAAGAAAAAATAAAGTGAAAATTTTTTTCTTCTAAAATTTGAAATTTTTTAATGAAAATCATCCCCCCACACGCCATATAAAGTACAAAAAGATAGATTTCGTTCCTTGTAACAAATCAATTATGGCAAATAAGTTTCCTTCAACCAATTTGGAACGATTTATAAGACGGATTAAACCTCCGCTTACGCGTTAAAAGCGCGAAATATATCGTGCGTTAATTGTCCCAAATGGGTCAAAATGGCCAAAATGGCAATCTTTAAACCCTCATAACTTTACGAGAAATAATCACAGGTGAAATATCTTTTCAAATTTAAGCTCAGGACAACAATGGCTTTCGAATGACATAAAAAAATTCTGTCAAAAATGGCTAGTTAAAAAGTCGAAATTTGTCTGAAGAAAAAAAACCCACCCCGAGCACAAATATTCCGTTACTTTCGTATCGAAATTCGGAACAACAAGACTGCTCGTATCAGGGCGAAGCCCTGAATGTTCCGACTGCCTTTAAAGGTTTATGGAGCAGTAATAACATTAAAAAATTAAATGTAAGAAAAAATAAAGTGAAAATTTTTTTCTTCTAAAATTTGAAATTTTTTAATGAAAATCATCCCCCCACACGCCATATAAAGTACAAAAAGATAGATTTCGTTCCTTGTAACAAATCAATTATGGCAAATAAGTTTCCTTCAACCAATTTGGAACGATTTATAAGACGGATTAAACCTCCGCTTACGCGTTAAAAGCGCGAAATATATCGTGCGTTAATTGTCCCAAATGGGTCAAAATGGCCAAAATGGCAATCTTTAAACCCTCATAACTTTACGAGAAATAATCACAGGTGAAATATCTTTTCAAATTTAAGCTCAGGACAACAATGGCTTTCGAATGACATAAAAAAATTCTGTCAAAAATGGCTAGTTAAAAAGTCGAAATTTGTCTGAAGAAAAAAAACCCACCCCGAGCACAAATATTCCGTTACTTTCGTATCGAAATTCGGAACAACAAGACTGCTCGTATCAGGGCGAAGCCCTGAATGTTCCGACTGCCTTTAAAGGTTTATGGAGCAGTAATAACATTAAAAAATTAAATGTAAGAAAAAATAAAGTGAAAATTTTTTTCTTCTAAAATTTGAAATTTTTTAATGAAAATCATCCCCCCACACGCCATACAAAGCACTAAATGATAGATTTTGCTCCTTGTAACAAATCAATTATGGCAAATAAGTTTCCTTCAACCAATTTGGAACGATTTATAAGACGGATTAAACCTCCGCTTACGCGTTAAAAGCGCGAAATATATCGTGCGTTAATTGTCCCAAATGGGTCAAAATGGCCAAAATGGCAATCTTTAAACCCTCATAACTTTACGAGAAATAATCACAGGTGAAATATCTTTTCAAATTTAAGCTCAGGACAACAATGGCTTTCGAATGACATAAAAAAATTCCGTCAAAAATGGCTAGTTAAAAAGTCGAAATTTGTCTGAAGAAAAAAAACCCACCCCGAGCACAAATATTCCGTTACTTTCGTATCGAAATTCGGAACAACAAGACTGCTCGTATCAGGGCGAAGCCCTGAATGTTCCGACTGCCTTTAAAGGTTTATGGAGCAGTAATAACATTAAAAAATTAAATGTAAGAAAAAATAAAGTGAAAATTTTTTTCTTCTAAAATTTGAAATTTTTTAATGAAAATCATCCCCCCACACGCCATACAAAGCACTAAATGATAGATTTTGCTCCTTTTAACAAACCATTATGGCGAATAAGCTTCTTTTAACCAATTTGGAACGATTTCTAAGACGGATTAACTCTCCGCTTACGCGTTAATAGCGCGAAATATATCGCGCGTTAATTGTCCCAAATTGGCCAAAATGGCCATCTTTAAACCCCCATAACTTTACGAAAAATGATCACAGGTAAAATATCTTTTCAAATTTGAGCTCAGGACAACAATACCTTTCGAATGATATAAAAAAATTCCGTCAAAAATGGCTAGTTAAAAAGTCGAAATTTGTCTGAAGAAAAAAAACCCACCCCGAGCACAAATATTCCGTTACTTTCGTATCGAAAGTCGGAACAATAAATAAATGGTCATCTTCATTTTCCAGAAGAGTGAAAGAAATGAAACTTAATAGTTTCGAGAAAAAAGTCACTCCATCTTTTATTCGGTTTGAGCGATTGTTTAAATTTCAATTGTGATAATACTCAATGCCATACGTAGCCAACTTATCATAATTATTAAGCCAAATCTCACATGCAGCAACCAGTGCTAGTTTGTTCGGAACTTAAACAACAAGTACGCTTAATTGGTAATGAATTGGTTTCTTAAGGCTGCCCGTTCAAAATTAAATTTAGGTCTGTTTTTGCTCTCCATTAGGATACTATAAAAATCTTTGAAAGAAAACAATTATAGATTCGTCGTCTTTGGTTTTGATCTAGACGCCATTTTCATCTAAATAATCCGCGTTTTGTTATTTGCCACACTGAAGTGTTTTTTTTTAGCACCAGCCCATTTTTTCCTCGTCAAGTTTTGAGTTTTTTTTTGTAATTGGAAAAATATCGTTAGTAGCTCAAAATCTGGATCTTTTTCCGGTGAATCGAGATCCGTTTCAATAAACTCCTCATTTCATGCTCTGTCCGCATCAGTTTGACTCGAAATTCCGTTTGTTTTTTTTTGTTTTTTTTTCCGTTTAACATTCACTCACTGTGAGATATTTACTTGATCATTTTGTGGTGATCATTTTGTTTGCAGTTTTTCACCTGTTGTTTTTTATATCTCGCTCATTTGAAGGAAGCCTATCGTTGAGAAAAAGGGGATATCATTTAATCGAATTTTTTGAAGGGGCAAACTAACTCCTTCTCAATTACACGTTTATCGAAGGAAGGTGGTGAAAGTCGCTCTAAGGACGCTAAAATGACAAGCTTTAAAATTGCTTGGCGTCGTATCATAATTCAGAAAACCTTCGTAAGAAGTCGTCTACTTTGTCGTCTATCAGGAAGATTTTTCACCATCACATAATCTTCGATGTTTAGCGCTCCTGGCCTTTTACTCGTACCTCAAAGTCTGTTACTATATTTGGAAATCTCGTAATTTTTTCGTCATTTTCTGAAATTGATTGCAAAATATATTCAAATGAAGATCGATATTGAGTTATCTTTTTCAAGGCTGAAATGAAATCCTCCGATTTGTCATCTTAATCTATATAGTTTTTCATCGTAAAAGGAATCAGAATCAGTTCAAAAGTTTACATTCGATTTTAGCTGCTTCAAATTTTGAGTTTTTTTTCACACGCATCAAGAAAGCCTGCGATTTAAAGCAACTATCCGATCGTTGAGCTTTCTTTTGTGCTTCAATACTTAAATTTTGACGGGTACGTAGCGACTTCGTTCATTATTATTTTTTTTCAATAGCAGCAATCTTTTTTGAGGGTGTCTCCTATGTTTTCAAATCATAAAGAAAGTTGCACCTCTTAATCGAGTCTCATTTTGATGAATCCAACAGTACAAGTTTATTTCAAAAAAGCCCTAAAAACGAGTTACCTTTGTTCAGACTAATTGATTTCTCATAAACGAACGTCCTTTTCATCATTTTTTTGAATCACAAATAATTATAAAAAGTTCATTGATCAAAAATTTGTAGCCATTCATTGAAGTTGAAGCATGAGTTAGAATTTCTGAGTTTTTTTACAGACAAGAAGTTACATAAGAATATGAAAAGTATTATTTATCCAAGAGCAATTTCTATTGGTTTTTGTTTAGTTTAACTGAGTTTCTTTTCCAGGTTATTTCTTGCGATATAAAAACTGGGCTTTCCAGAAAAACTACAAGTGTCTTAGTAAGAAGAAACAGCGCAACCTATGCATGATTGGAGTCCGGACTCTTCCCGAATTGGTGAACGAGTTCTATGGGAGACAAATGTTTATCAACAAGTTCCCGTGGAGTTTCGAACCCTTTGCCTGGGACTGTATACTCTCGTGGAACTACCGGAAAGTTCAAACCGAGTACAAAACAAAGAAACCAGCGCTGCTACATTATTCGTTCTTGGACAACCCACAATTAAAATTCACCAGGAAATACGACGATAAGTGAATTGAAACACAGCGAAAATACTGTAAACAAATATATGAGTAAGTTAAAAATATTAATTCAAATTTGCAATCATAAATACATTTTTTCTTGTTGCTTGTATTTGAAGTCCTGGACATTTTTGTTGTAATTGTCGTTGACCTTCAGCTCCTAAACACAAAAATATATAACTTGGCATCTGGTTTGTCCCACGGGAAATTATTGCAAACTGCTCCTCTCTCTCTGACTTTCGTTTTGCTGTTTTCCCAGTTAACCTTTTTCTCCTGGTTTCGTATATATCGTTTTCGTTTTTGTGCTTCTGTTACCCCGCTAATTTAAAGTTCATAAATTGGTTCCGTTGGATCTATGATTGGTATTTTAAGGTGAAGTAGAATTCGTGCTTCTATTCCGTCTTTGGCCAGGACGGAGACGGACATTTCCATCACGGCTGTCCATTTGGATCGCTCGATTGGTGGTTGTGCGGATGCCTTCTGCCAGAATGGTAGAATACTCAGCGGGTTTTTGTATCGTGCTGGCTGCGACATGTCAAACTTTGTCCTATCAGTACTTACTGAATCCGAACGGATTGGCAACTATGTTGGTAACTCAATGAAGAATAAAAGATAACCGAAAAATAATTTTTTAACCGTTGCTCTGAGCGATCCGTGCTCTTAGATTTAATGACTGGCCGTGTTGCTCAAGGTTGCTCTGATTGTGTGTTTGAATTAAATAGAAAGAATCGTTTTTTGAATGAAATTCCGGTTTTAAATTATTGCCAAGCAAGGGATCGTATTTTTTATCGCATGTGGTGCGGAACACTATTGGCCTTTGTGTAAAAGTACTTTTGCGATAAGCAAGGGCATTGCAATCGGTTACTAAATTATTTTCCCGTAAATAACTTTGTTCACAGAACGGTCAAATGGTAATCAATAAATTTTACACCCATTGGTTAAAACTAATAGTTAATTAATAGCATGGTTGCTGTATTGGCCTTTCGCTTACGGTAAGAATGGCACACGTAAATTGACACACGGTGTTCAGCTTTAATTCTGTCGCACTTATTTCTGAAGTTTTTTAGACCAAAAGTTTTTCGAAACGTTAGTTTTTACAGTTTTAACCTTTTAAACCAGTTTTTACCTACTAGCGCTGTTATTATAGTTTTCGGCTTGTTGAAACCGAAGTTTTATCTCCATACGACGAACTTAATTTGTACAAGCATTAACCGTTGTAGAATTGTCACGTGAATTGAGCTCCACTGATAGAGTTGACGTTTGCGTAGCTAATTTTCTTAACTGCTAGCATTGAAAACTTTGCTTTCTGATGAATATTAGTTTTATTTACCTCCAATACTCTTACTACTGACAATTTTGGTTCGGACTTGGGGTGATTTTGTTTCAATCAGTCAATTTTCGGCAATCAAAATATTTACTTTTTGACTAAAAGTTTTTTTATACCCCGTTGAGAATATTGACTCCCTGAAATCAAATAAAAAAAAGATATTTTACCTCCGATCATTTTTGCTAACTTCTGGGAGTTTGAAATTGCCAATGTCCATGCTTTGGACTTAGTTATGCGCGTTTTGAAATTTCTATTCATAATGCTTAAATCGTAACGCGAATTATTTATGGCGAGTTATCCCGCACAGCGAAATTGTTCCAAACTGAATGGAGGCTAGCTAATTGGTCGTATGACTTAAATTCTTACCTCGATCTTTCATCTTGTCCAAAATTTATAGTTTTTCAATATTTTCTTTTCCCAAAAACTATTCGATATGGACTAAGGGGGAGTCGGAACGTTCTGGGCTTTGCCCTGGGTACGAGCAGTCTTGTTTGAATTCAAGACTGTTCTACGCAAAACAAACAGACTTGGATCAGGAACAGCATGTGTCGTGCAGACATAGCAAATGAAGGATTTGCTGCACTATATTCCGAAAGCATAACTGGTTCTCTGATAACGAAAGCATAACGCAAGCAAAGTCCTACTGGTTCATAGACTAATCAAGTTGGGCTTTAAAAGCTGTTTTTTCAGATGTTTGAATCGCCAAAAATGGTCTGCTTAATTCGAGTATAGTAGGTTTCTTAACATTTTCATATACTGTTTCTGCGCCATTTGGGAAAAACTGTGCATATACAAAACAGTCTCTTGCTAAACAGTCCAATACAAAACGGTCCAACAGATCATGTAATGAAGGAAAAAATCAGTACAAAACAAAACAGTGCGGTTTGAGGTCGCCGGTGGACGCGCTACGCGCGTATTGCCGCTTCGCGGAGATAACCGTCTCTAAATTTCGTAGTAAGTCCTACCCTCTGTTGGCAAGCTCGCAACACGTTGGCGCGACTGCGGTGGTCACTAATTTGTTCATTATGTTTGTTGTGACAATTCTCGGCCTACCGGCTTGTTGAAACAATTATTAATTGGGACTGTTTTTCGGACTGATTTGTATCGGAATGCTTTGTCGTTCTTTTATATACTTTTCCAGACTGTTTTGTTTTTGGACTGTTTTGTATTGGACTGTTTTGTACAGACACGGGAAAAAACAAGTCCATTAATTTTTCATAGAACAAACTCGAGTCTATAACTCTAACCTCTGTTCAGGAGATATTTTTATGATGATCACCTCTCTAAACGGTTAATGATAGACCAAAAACGGCCCCTTCGAAAGATTTGATCCAACTGAATTCTAAAAAATATCATCAACCGTGTAATAAAATTTAAATCCAACAGCTTAAGTACGGCATCATCTTTCAACTTAATGTCTAAGAGCACCTTTCTAACAAGTTTCGATAGGCTGGCAAAATACGGCCTCCAAAGCATTGTTTGAGCATCATAATAATAGTAAATTGTTGTCAGGCTTTAGTATCAGAATAAAGCAGAATTTTGTAGAATTCATAACCCAGTCTCAAGCCTGATAGAGCGTCATTAGACCACAGTCAAACAATTCTTTGACAAGAATTTTTGTTCTGACCATTGAAAAGGGGAAGGAACATTGTATTCGGGTTTTATTTTTTTTTGCTTTTTGCTTTCCACTTGGTTTTTTCTTTCTTTTTGCTTGGTTTGAAATTTTTGATTTTTCGTCTTATTTCAAGCAAATAAAGCGAGCGAGCAGTCTTGTTTTAATTGTTTAAAAGCGTACAATAGCTTAATTTAAAACGTTAAAATTTTGTTTTGCTTAAGTAACGTTAGTTTACTAAGAGTACTTTAGCGCCTTGTTGGAAAATTCAAAAAACTGCAAAAAAAACTTGAAAAACTTTTCGAAAATCAAATTTTTTTCGTTTAGTAATTTTTCTACAAAAAATGTTTTTCAGTTTGCTTATTTTAGTTGGCTGTTGAATATACCTAATCCACAGTTTTTTGTTCGGCTCCTTTTATCACAGCATGCCAAAAAAAAAACGACAATAATTTGAAAAAATATTGTTATATATTCTTAAGACTGGTCGGAACATTATGTACTAGTTATGCTAAAAAGTGCGAAATCATCATGGGGCAAAAAAAAATACAAAAACCGGTAAAACAGTAGATTAGATATCGCGATTAGCAAGCGTTATCAACTGGAATATAGATTTTTTTCGGGCTTACAACTTGTTAAACAGAATCAGTTGAATCAATTGGTATCCTGGTTCATAATGAATTCACATTTCTACGTGTCTCCGCCACACCTAGTTTGGAGGTAACGCATACCTCTGGGACGCCAAAAGTTTTGGGTTCGAAACTGACCGGACCTTTTTTCAAACGGGAAGTAGTCCGTTTCAAAAAAATTGTCAGTTTGATAACTTCTGCTTATGTTTTGTGGGCTTAGTTGCCATATTGTAGATTTTAAATTTTTTTATTACCGTTTTTTAGTGCTACCTCTGCTTTTTGTATTTTTACTAAACTTGACTGATATATATGTATATGTAGATATTTTTCGTTTTCGTTTGAAAACTTATTTTTGCCCAAATGATTTCGGCTTTTTTTCATCGACTTAGTGACTTAATTTTGAGTCGTTGCTACAGAAAGATATTTTTCATGCTCACCTGTTGATCGCGCAAAAATCTAATATTCCTTATAGAAATATAAATCAATTTTTTCTTGATAATAATTTCCGGCTTTTTTGATTTTTCCTTTTTTTCGGCTTGATAGGTTTATGCATACATTAAATCGGCTTATTGGCCTCATATTGCGTCATTCGACGAGCAGAAGTTTTTGTGTGCTTGTTTGTGTTTTCAGTTTCAGGGGGACTTAATGCTTTCATATAAACCTTAATTTTTTTTGATATGTTTCGTTTTTTATTTTTCCGTTTTGGCTTGATACGTTTTGGCCTATATTATATCGGCTTAGTGTCCTCACGAGCAAATGAAGTGTTTTGAGAATGAGGTGGTCTTAACAACTTTTCAGAATTCTGAAGTCTTGTTGTTTTTTTTCGGCTTACAGTGTTTCTGACAAGTTTTTTTCGGCTTTGTTTCTGCTGGGTACATTATCTTCCGATGCTCATTACACATTCTATTGCCTTGTCATGTTTTTTTTTTCAAAACTAGCCTTATTTTTTTTTAATAGGTCTAGTTTTTTTACCTTTTCGATTTTTCTTTTCGTTTTCTTGTTTGGTTACGCAAGTGATGCGAAGCTCAGCTTCGCCTCAATGTAAAAATAAGTGACCTCCAAAAATTTGATTGTGCTTCATTGAATATCTGCTAATGAGAAAAGTTATTTTCATCAAAAGTATACTTGTGTAACTTGCTTGGGCCCATATTAAAATTATTAAAATTTAAAATTTAAAATATTAAAATTTTGTTTCGGCTTTCGAAAAAAGTTCGAATTATTTATGCTTGGTATGGTTTTTATTCAGTCATTTTTTGACTGTTTAACTAAGCATTTTTGATAGAATTTTTCTATACCATCTGCAAGATATAGACAATATTTCGTTGTGTTATGGTGGTTTGAAAATTGCTAATTTAGCCAATTTGGAGCTGCGGATTAATGCGATCCAAATTGAATTGAGGCAATTCTTTTGGTGGTATCATTAGAATACAAGACAATTAATACATTTTTTTGTAGTTTACTTTTGCGTGTGGGTGGATTCAATTGAAGGAAAAATAATTTAAAAAATCTTTTTGTAGTTTTTTTTCTATTATTTTGTCAGTTTTTCAAGCAAAAAATTTAAATTGGGCTGAAAATGCAGACGGAACATTCAGGGCTTTGCCCTGATATACGAGCAGTTTTGTTGCTTTCTAGTAAATTGAAACCAAAATCAGCCAAACTCGACTGGAGTAGTTCTCGATTTTTTCGCATCATTAGAAAGCTTTAAGTGGTTTCTAAATTGTAGCAGTAATTATCCTAGCAGTAACTATGTCTCCTAGCCCACTGGTTTGCCTAATTTCCGTTCTTATATTCTTAATACCAAGAAGCTATCTGAGCCTTCAAAACACTGAGTGATGCTTAATGTTAAATACAGGTCTGTAAAGAAATATAATGTATTTAAATATATTTTCAATAAATAAAATACAATTAATAATTTTTGATTGAGAAAAACAAAGTCGATTTATTTTATCAGAACAATTTTTAATCAAGGACAAGCTCAGCATAAATGTGGGTCCCAAAATAAGCGCTAATTGTTCCAATTATTGAAAATGGGGAGAAACTTTGTATTCCGATGTGTTTTAGTTTTTTTTCCACGTATTTGGAACGTATTTTATGAGTATGCTCGGAACATTATGGTAACACGCCACAATTTTCTTGACCGTATTTTATGAAGATGGTCGGAACATTATGGTAGCACGTGGCAGTTATGGTAGCATTTAGAGAAGCGACAACTTGCCGCAGAGTAATCTGACTTAAATTTTATCTAAGTAATTCGCGATCGTTTGATTAAGCGGTCATGCCTAAGCGGGCGTGGTATTCGATATGAAATGTTTTGTGGAATAATAAGCAAAGAACTCTGATTAAATTGCCTTGTGTCGAATTGTCGCTTTTCTTAATTGCTAAAAAATCACACCAAGTAGTTGTAGCTAATATTTTTAAAGGTTCATTCTACGATCTGAAAGGGATATGGATATGCAAGGTACCAAGTTTAAACAGGTTGCTAGGTATCGCCTTTTGAATGGTTTAAGCCTTGTTCTTTCTAAAATGTAAAATTTATACGTTTCAAATTAAATTCCAGGAAATTGAAAGGAAAAATAGAGAAGTTCCATTTGATCAACTATGGGAAAGAAACGGTTGATTGGCGACAAAAGTTTTGATCTGCTGATGACCGCCACATTGAAATATATGTATCATGATTTCTTCATTCCCGTATCCAATGGAAGCTGTTTTTCTTGATAGAAATTTTATGTAGGTTATCTAGCCTTAGTTTTCTCGTATTTTCCGTGCAGAAATTATCTATTTTTTTTTCTAGTTTAGAAATAAACAGTTTCTGGAAAAAACCAGAAATCAGGGCTCTTTTCCAGTCCCCCCTTTCAAAATACCGGGTTTTATGTTTGTTTTACGTGTTATTACCGCTAAATGCGTGATGTCAGAATTAGGATGAGAAATAAAGAATTTAAAGAAAATCCATGCTTTCTTTGAACATTTCAAAAAGAATTTCTGACCAGAAATTAGATTAGATACAAAATATTTCAGGTCAGAAATGAAGAATTTTCTCAGTACGGGTAGTCATTGAAGCAAAGTGTATCGATCGGGCTTCTTTATATCACTGAAAACAAAAACAATAGATTAACAGGCATATCAGGTTACTGTGCAAGTAGGTGCAGTAAGTTCCAACCACAAAATGTTTCTGCAATATCGATGCTAAAAATGATGAGGAAAGTTGCTCAATTTAAGAGTTTAAAACTTTTTTGGCCTTGGGAGAGGGAAGGAAGAGTGTGGCGAAAAATGTTGATTTTCAAAACTTGTTTTTAACATCTTATGGGCGGGAGATGATTTTTCAAAATATTTTTTCTAAAAACTTTTCATCCTTTTTTTTCGAAGCAAAACTTTTCCCTTGGTCTCAAAATGCATTCGGAACATTCAAGACCTCGCCCTGATACAAGCAGTATTGTTCAAAATGAAATTCAAGTATGGAGGGGAAAGTGTAAATGTGCCAAATTTTTAATTCGCTCTACTCTTTCTTGGCTTACCGACTTAGTTTGCTCTAACTCGGACATAAATAAAACATAAAATTCAACACGATTTTTCAGTGCAACTCGAAAACGTTTGAATTTTTCATACAGATTTAATAACTATTAAAAGTGCCTTAAAATAGTAATTCACCCGACCCTATCAGACGCTTTTTTTCGTGGAAAAAGAAACGAAACACCGGATTACCAAACACCTCCCCATTTTCAGTGATAGAAGAAAAATCAAAACTTCAGGAAAGAAGAACCATTTGAATATGTTAACGATCAAGGAAAAATAAGCTAACGATTATATCTGATTTTCACATGCTTATCAGAACATACCTGATGTCAGATTCTTTGTTATCAGGTTGGTTGCTGAAAACAATACCATTAATTTCATTAACACAACAATGAATGTGAACAAAGTACTTAAAATTCAGAATTGTACCATATCAAAGATTGCTGATTAAAAAACAATTCCTAATTTTTAGCAAAAATTAAGAAAAGAATACTGTATAGTTACCAACCTGATGACAAAATTTCGAAGTCATTCAATGCAGCTCGCGTGTTAACTAAAGCTCTAAAACAACCAAAGAGAAACTGTACATATAAACAGCTAAATGCCGAATTTTCATGATCTCTCAAAATACAGGAACTAGAAACGTATGCAGCTTTATATAAATCGACTGCAATTAGCGCGGATCCTTTCAACGATCACTTTCAACAATCAGTTTGAAAAAGGGTTCGTTACAAAGTTCGCATTTGGCTAACTTGATTTGGTACATTATAGGGATGGATATTCGATACCGAGTTGAGACGTGCGATTTATCTTTCGACCGAGCCTAATTGGGCACATGTCAGAGTTCGATCAACAGTTCATAGTCGAGAAGGCCCTTTGTTCGAACTCGAAGTCGAAATATAAAGTCGAGTCGGTCAAAACAAAAAGTCAAACCCAAAGTCGAAACATAAAATTGAACACAAAGCCGAAGCATAGTGTTGAACACAAGTCAAAACATCGAAAAAAAATTGGGCGCAAAAAATTACAAGTAATTTGGTTTTTTTGTCATATTTTTTTGCTGTATATATATATATATATATATATATATATATATATATATATATATATATATACAGCAAAAAAATATGACAAAAAAACCAAATTACTTGTAATTTTTTGCGCCCAATTTTTTTTGTATGTGTTGTGTGTCTGTGTTTTGCAGATAGCAAGACCAGCATATTCGATACTCAATGGTAATTTATCTTCTGTCAAACCTAGAAGAACTGTTTTTTCTCTCGACCGGAACTGTTTTTGCTCAAAAAAATCCGCTGTCGCAAACTGGTTTTTCCTCGGCCAACCTTCGGAAGAAATGTTTTCTTTTGGTGGAATTAGGTCAAATGGTTTCCTCGGTCGGACATATTAAAAAAATAACAAATTAGAATGGAAACGGTCGAAACCTAACGAACCTGTGTTGATAAATTCGAAAAATATCAATCTTCGGCCGAGTCTTTTACATTCCAGCCAAATTCCATATTTTCAATCAATTCGAAATAGGGCAGCAAATTGGGATAACTGGATAACTTTAATTTACATGGGTCGCTGAAAATTTAGTGCAATTGTCACGCGAACGAAAAGCAATTAGGACTAAGCAGGCATCTTTCTACTTGCCTAATTGAATAAATCGTAACAAACTTTTTTCTGAAGTTCTTTTTTTAGCAGTTTCAAGTCTACTCGTATTAAACCTATAATGAGAAGTTAGAAATATACCGATTTTTTTCGAGTCTGTGGGAACAAAAAAAGCAATTCTTTATCCGCGTAGTTATCATAGGGGAATTGATTAAAGAGATCCATAGCTCACTTTAATCAGATTTTGTCTTAAATTTTCGACACTGATCAACCTTAATTCAGTTTAGTTTGGTCCAGAAAAATTGCTCGTACATATATTCCAGCCACAATTATCATTTCAAATTCGAAATAGGCAGCAAACTGGAAAAAAAAGGAACTGCGATAGATTAACATTAGCGCAAATGCCACAAACACGAAAAATATGCTGGACTAAGCAGAATTTTTTGCTACTTGACTATTTGACTTAATTAATACATTTTTTTTCCTGATTTTTTCCCCTCAACAGTTTGAAATCTTTTCCTAACGAACCTGGATTGAGAAGTTCAAACTATTTCGATCTTTGTTCGAGTGTGCCGGAACAAAATAAAAAGTCTCCATCCTGGTAGGTACTATAAAGTAATTGATTGAAGACATCCATAGATCACTTTTATTAGATTTTGTTCTCAATTGTCGTCAATGACAAACCTGATGTCATTGGGTTTAGTTTCGTCTGAAATTCATCTCTCGTTTATATATTCCAGCGAAGTTTCAAAACTTCAATTCAAAATGGGGCTGCAAAAGTGGATAGCAGGATTATTAAAACCTACATGGTCGCAGAAATTTTAGTTCAAATGCGAAAAACAATTGAACTAATCAGGGCTTTTTTGTTACTTACCGATTTGATTGAACCACAACAAATGTTTTTCTAAAAGTTTTTTCTCTCTTAAACAGTTCAAGTCTCTTCCTAACGAACTTGCATTGAGAAGATCGAGAAATAACAATCTTCGGCCAAGTCTGTCAGAACATAATTAGCCCTTCCCTATCCGGCTAGGTACCATAGGGGAAATGATCGAAGAAATCCATAGCTCAATTTTGTGTAGTATTGTCAGCAATTGTTGCCACTGACCAACCTTATTTAATTGGAAATAGTTGTTCTAAAAATCAAAGGTTGACTTATATTCCAACCGCATTTTACTTTTTCAATTCGAAATGAGGCAGAAAACTGGGTTGACTGGATGAATATAATTTACATGAGTTGCCGAAAACTAAGTGCAAATGCCACACTTAAAAAATGCAAGCTTGACTGAGCTGGTTTTTTGTTAATTGCCTATTCTTATGAATCAATTCAAATTTTTCTTCTGAAAGTTTCCTCCTTCATAAGTTTCAAGTATATCCTATTGAACGTGAACTGAGAAGTTCGAAACAAACCGATCTTTGGTCAGGTCTGTCGGGACAAAAACAGCAAATGTCGATCCGGTAAGATACCATAGGCGAATTGATTGAAAAGATCCATAGCTCGATTTAAAAAAATTTTGCTATCGATTGCTGCCACTGACCAACTTGAGCTCATTGGCTTTCGTTCGGTCAAAAAGTCAACGCTTGTTTAAATATTCCAGCTTCACTTCACATGTTTATTTCGAAATGAGGCCGCAAAAGGGAATAGCTGGATGAATAGAATGTACTTGGTTCGCCAAAAATTTAATGCAAATGCCACACGTACGAAAATCAAAGTCGACTGAGCAGGATTTTTGGTTACTCGCCTTTTTGGGTTATGAGTATCTTCCTAACGCACTTGGGTTGAAAAGTCTAGAGTATACCGACGTCTGGCCGAGTCTGTTGGAACATAAAAAGCAAATTTCTATCCAGGTAGGTACCCTAGGCGAAATTTTTGAAGAGATCAATAGCTCAATTTTAATAGATTTTGTCATTAATTGTCGCCACTGACCAACCCTTTTTCATTGGTTTTAGTTTAGTCTAAAACTCATCGCTTGTCATATATTCCAGCCCCTTTTTACGTTTTTAATTCGAAATGAGGCAGCAAACTGAGATAGCTGGATGAATAAAATGTACATGGGTTGCCGATAACTTGATGCAAATTCCACGCGTACAAAAAGCAAACTGGCATGAATAAAGTGACACAAGTCTGGTTAATTAGATTTGAAGCTGCTCTCAGTTTATCGGCTATTCAATTTTTTTCTAGTTTGCTTTGAAAACCAAAATTATTCAGATTAACAATCGAAAATTATTCAAAAAAAAAAAGAAATTTTTGCGAGACTTTTTAGGTCAACGAAGTTTAGGTCAAAGAAAAATAGTGCTAATTTATGTGATTTCGTTTCGCGTTATTTCGGACTTTACATCGGGTTATATCTGCTACTCGAATTCGACTTGGTTGTTGCATGTTTCTGAGATCAATTGACTCGGTAAGGACTTTGAAGAACTCAGAAAAAGTATTTTTTATCGTTTGTTCTTGTTGAAAGTCAATGAACTTGTTAAAAGTTCGATAACGCTAATATTGAATAGTATGTACATATGGGAGCTTACTGCAGTTTGAGTTTACATCTGGTTAAGTCATGTCTGTACTTATTGGAATTACCTGCAATGCAAATGCCACGAAAATCGTAGCGGACTGAGCAGAATTTTTTTGTTACTCGCCTTTTTGGGTTATGAGTATCTTCCTAATGCATTTGGTTTGAAAATTTTAGAGTATACCATTGTTTGGTCGAGTCTGTTGGAACATAAAAAGCAAATTTGTGGAATTACTTTGTGGAATTACCTTCAATTCTAGGTGGCGGAAAATGTTATCTGGTTTGTTTAGACTGATTTGTAACCTTGACTTTGATCAAAATCATTAGAGTCGCTTACCTGAATGTTAATGACTCGCTTGTCTTGCCCTAATAGTTAACTTTTCCCCCATAACTTTTCAAATGCTAAATTATAGAATTTGAAAATTTTTTCATACCTTTTCATAATTTCATCGGAATGCGTAGTCATTTGAAGGAGAGAGACAATCTGTAGCACAAGGATGGCTGCACAGAGGGAAAATTTCATCACAAAATCCCAAATTACCTTTGTACAGCAACTGCAGCCTGTATTTCCAAGATAACTCAGTGCAAATAACTCAGTTAAATTTTTAATCAATCACACTTTTGTCTGATTGGCTCTTTTTCGATTTCTCCGCACCTGCAAACTCTTACTGTATTACTTTTGATCACTACTTTCGATTGTTATAAACATTGATATGAGGACTATTTTCATGTGCATGTGATTATATTAAGAAAAAAAGTAGATTAAGTTCAGATTAAAATGTGCGGTTATAAAGAGAAAAAAAATTAGGCGGTGTTCAAAATGATAGAATCGCTGCAAATAACGACTAAGTACAGCTTATATAATGACTGAAAGTGCCCAAAAACTAAACATCAAATCAATCTTAAAATCTGTAGTGCTGCACGTTTCTGAGAAGCCGATTGCTGCACAGGTGAGATCTTTTACTTTAGGAGGTTGTTATGATGACAAAAGGTGTTAGCAATTAGGGAAGTAACTATCATAATAGTTAGACCATGCGAACAAAAAATTAGGCCAATGAAACATCGCAAGTGAGAGAGGGGGAGCAGAAAAAAGAAAAGGTGAAAAGCCCTGAATAAACTATAGTTCGCACTAATTTCGGAACAGGTTAAAGCATGAGCGGATCTAGAAATTTTCTAGGGGATCTAGAAAGGAGCAAGCGGAGTTCCAAAAAAAATTTAGAACTTTAAGTTTAGGTGGGTCAAAATGAATTTACGATTTCATCCCGTGTATTAATTTACTAGATCAAAATATGCTGTAGGCTAATTTTTGAAAAAGCCAAAAATATCGTTTTTGGCACATTTTGAAAGGTTTTGACCAAAAATAATTCTTTGTTTTTTGCAGGTGCTTCCCTTCAAAATTGCTATATACTGGTGCCAAGTTTAATTTAAGATCAGTAGGAAAAAAATGGGTTATTTTGTAGAAGAAATCGAGTTCATTAGCGGGGGACAGGAAAGGCATTCGCCCCCAATTCGAAAAACTACCAAATATCGGTCAACCGCAATTGTGATACAAACTAACTAACGAACAATTCTCTCAAATTCTTAAGGCGGTAATATCCCATAGTCAGCAAGCAGGCCTTTGCAAAGGGCTTGGGAATGGTCAACTGATGAGTAATTAATTGCGATTAGTCGGACATAAATGAACTGAAATCAGTAGCGGATTTAAAGGAAACGGAAAACGGACCCCCCCCCCGCCTCAGGAATTCGACCCCTGCCGACTTAAAGGGTCCCCCCTTTGTACTTATTTGCTATATCCATTTTTGGTGACTGATTTTAAAATTTTTCTAAAGGCGCCTTTGGCGCCAAAATATACTAATTTTGCGGGGGGAGCGCGCGCCGAAAAAAAAGCGATTTTTTGGTCAAAATTTTCCAAAAAGTGCATAAAAACGCCTTTTTTGGCCTGTTTTTTTTCAAAAATTTACCTATGGCGCAGAAAATTGTGCCAAATTAGGGTCTTAATAGTGATTTGGGAGAGCTCAGTCAGAAAATCAGTTTGGTTGACCTAAAAAAAAGTCGACAAATTTTTATTGAAAATCTGCCCCCCTCCGTAAGTTCCCGCGCCTGACTGAAATCATTTCTTTCATAATTTCTCACTACTGAAAAACCAGGCCATTAATTTGCTATTCAAGAGTTTCGAAACTTTTGAAGAAAGTGACGGCTGATATAAAACAATTTTGTCAAACATTGCTACTTAGAAAGTCAAAATTTGTCTAAAAAAAACACACCCGAGCTCAAATATTCCGTCACTTTCTTCAAAAGGGTGTGTTTTTTTAGACAAATTTTGACTTTCTAAGTAGCAATGCTTGACAAAATTGTTTTATATCAGCCGAAATTTATTTTTGTCCTGAGCTCTAATTTAAAAAATATTTCATTTGTGATCATTTTTGTTCCGAATTTCGAAGAAAACGGAATATTTATGCTCGGTGTGGGTTTTTCAGTCAAATTTCACCAATCGAAATAATTATTTTGAAAAAAATTTTTTTTTACCCCATTGAAGATATGGAGTTCCTGAGTTCAAATGTAAAAAGATATTTAACCTCCGATAATTTTTTTTTTTTAATTCTCGGGGTTTAAAAATTGCCAATTTTGCCAAATTCTGGACAAACTTGAGCGCATTTTAGAGAGTTTATTCATATTTTTGAGATCGTTATTTATGCGTGGCGAATTATCCCGCGCAGCAAAATCGTTCCAAATTGAATTGAGGCTAGCTAATTGGTATTATTATTTCGTACGACTCAAAATTTTACACATTGATATTGTCCAAAATGTATAGGTTTTCAGTATTTTATTTTCCCAAAACTATTCGATTTAAATTAAGAGACAGTTGGAGCATTCAGGGCTTTGCTCTGATATACGAACAGTCTTGTTTGTAAAGTTATGAGGGTTTAAAGATTGCAAATACGGCCAATTCGGGACAATTAACGCGCAATAAAATTCGTTAGCGGAGATTTGATCCCTTTTAGAAGTCGGTCTGAGCAAGATAGTTGTCTTAATTGCTACGTTACTAGGAGAAAAATCTATCACTTTGTACTTAATATGACGTGTGGTGGAAAGTTTTTACAAAAAATCTCAAATTTAAAAAAATAATAAATTTTTTTATAATGAATTTTTCATGTGATTACTGTTCCATAGACCTTAAAAGGCATCGGAACAATCAAGGCTTCGCCCTGATACGACGATCTTGTCTTATTTTGAAACCAACTCATTAAATTAGGCAATATAATCAACAGGAAGTAACGTGCTTTAAATTAAACAATAAATTCGATCTTAGCCAAAAGTTTTCCCGGCAGAACAGTTTTTTTCCTGCTGAATTTAAAGACAGAGTTTGCCGTTGAACCTCGAAAAACAGCTTCCCACTCACACATAGCTTTTATCAAACTTCGCCAACCAAAAGCTTTTTCATTAATTAAGTTTATGAACAATGATTAGCCCCCTCACGCTGACCAACACCGGCATTTTACTTCAGACTGGGCTGAGCTGTAGTGCCATCATGTTGGAAGGAGCTGGCCAATCCCCTATTCTCTCAGTTTCTCCCCACCTTCTCTACAAAAAAACCTAGCCCCGAAAATATTGCGTATGATTCCAAACCAGGCCCAAAACATTGTTCTCTATAAGGAGTTCAACAGTTGGCCATTTATCGGTTACAAATCATCTTAACCGGACTTGTTTTAAAAGTTAATTCATTGTTCCGACTTTTGAAGAAAGTTACGGATAATTGTGCTCGGTGTGTTTTTTTTCTCCAGACAAATTTCAACTTCTTAATTGGCTATATTTGACAAAAAAAAATTTTTATCATCCGAAAAGTATTGTTGTCCTGAGCTCAAATTTGAAAAAAAATATATTTAACCTGTCGCCGTTTTTCGGATTTAAACAGTGCCAATTAAAATAATTTGACCAAATTGAGATAGTCAACGCGCGTTATACATCAGGCCTTTATCACGCGAAATATTTTATCTTTCTTTGAAATCTCTCTGAGAAATTGTTCCACTTTGGACTGAGGCATCCTATTGAGACTATTTGATACTTTGCTATAGCGATGAGTTCTGCACTTTACATAGCATGTGGGCAAGGATTTTTTAAAAAAAAAACGCTGTGGGCGATGATTTTCAAAAAAAACTAATTTTTTATGTTATCTTTTTTTTGAAAATTGCATAATTTTTTTTAAAGCGAACAAAACTCCATAGAAAAAAGAAGGCAATCGGAACATTTAGGGCTTCGCCCTGAAACGAGAAGTCTTGTTGAGTTTCACCTGTAATTGATTTCCTCCAAGTCTTGCTCATGCTTCACGTTCATGTAAAATGCTACGCATCTTAACAAACAATAAATGGGACCAGTCACCCTAATGCTAATCAATCATATAAACTAGTATTCTGGAGGTACCAATCAACTCGGATTGACCAAATTTTCAATCATACGTCGCCCCAAATATGGCTCCAATGAAGCCAAAGAGAATTGAAAACCTATTTATATTTTAAAACAAGACTGCTCGTATATCAGAGCGAAGCCCTCAATCTTCCGACTGCTTTTTACGTCCCATTTAAAGACGTTTGATTGAAAAATTGCCGAAATAATTGAAGAAAAAAAGCTTGTTTTGTTAGCTAATGTAAGCTACAAAGGAATGTGTTTAAGGTCTTCTATCCTAACAATACGACCAATTGACTTGTCTCAATTCAATTTGGAACGCGTTAATCCGCTGCTTACGCCGTGTTAAGAACGCAAAATTTTGGGTTAATTATCCCAAATTAGCCAAATTAGCAATTTTCAAACCCCCGGAGTTTAACGAAAAATAGTCACAGCTGAAATATCTTTTTAAATTTGAGCTCACAACAACAATTTATTTCAGATGCTATAAGAATCCGTCAAAAATGCTAACTTAACAAGTCGCAAATTGACCGAAAAAAAACCACCCCAAGCATAAATTTTCCGCACTTTTTTCAAAAGTCGGAACAACAACACAATTTTATGTAGATGACGCGACATTCGGTTGCATATTTTTGTTCCAAATTTCGAAGAAAGTGAAGAATCTATACGCCTGGGGTGGTTTTTTGACCCAGACCGATTTAACAAAAGTTAACAGCGTGTGGGTATTGATCCGTGAAATTTTGGATTGCCAAGATAAGTTGCTTGCGCTAGACTAAAATGCGGATGGCTTTGCTGCTGAATAAAATTTTGATAGTTTCAATACGCGAAATATTTATGCGTGGCAAATTATCCACTTTCATAATCGCTCCAAAATGAATTGAGGCAAGCTAACTGGTCTTATTTTTCCGACTTTCGTAACAAAAGGAACGGAATAGTTGTGCTCGGGATGGGTTTTTTCTTCAGACATATTAAGACTTTTTAACTAGCCATTTTGACGGAATTTTAAAACATCACTCAAAAGGTAATTTTATGCTTAGCTTAAATTTGAAAAGATATTTTTACCTGTGAACGTTTTTTTTTGTAAAGTGATGGGGGTTTAAAAATAGCCATTTTGTCCAATTTGGGACAAGTAACGCACGGTATATTTTGCGCTATTAACG